ATATATAAGCCCGTGGGCTTTTAGGTTTAGGGTTTAGGCACTCTGTACTATCCTATATAAGTAGCTTAGGTTTTCTCCTTTTCTTGTAATGTTCCCACAATATTCATTYAATACAAACGGCAATCTTTTGGCCCTCTCTTTCTCTTATTCTAACAGTATAATTGCTAACATTGAATGGAGTATATTTCTTGTGTTTGTAGCAATGTTCAAAAAGGCGTGTCATTGCTCGATATGGCGCGAGACGCGTCTCCGCCTTTACGAAATGGCCCAAGCGTTTCTGTAAGGCGTGTTCACACCATGGCGTTTGGCACACGTTTTTTGTAACACGTGATTTTTTTCCAAAAAAAAAAAATTCTTATTTTTTATCTTGTGTTTGTACATTTTTAACTTTAGATTTTACATTTTTATAGATCAAACTAACACATCACTCACAGTTTCACAAATTCATAAACTTACAGACTCACAGTTAAAATGAAGTTGTAAAATTACCTTTCTAAGTTCTATTTTAAATATTTAATCAGAAACTCATTTTTATAATAATAATCTATACGATTTTTCTTCTTCTAATACGAATGTACATGTTTTTAATATCATTATCTGATTAGATAATATATAGAAAACATATATCTATATATATAATCCTATATATGACATACAAATTTGCCGCCTTATGTCACGCCTTGAAAAACGCCGATTCCTCGCCGTGGCATATAAGGCTTGATGCTTGACCTCGCTGTCACACCACGCCACGCCTCACGCCTTTTTGAACCTTACTTTAGAGTCCTTTAATCTTAATGGTTAGTCTCAAGCCTCATTTTTCTGTATAGAGCAAGTTCAATTTTCGTTTCATTATGTTTGACATTACTTTTTAACCATCAGATTTATAATATTTTGAGTTCACAAGTATTATTCAATATTTTTATTTAAATGCTTTGACAGTTTCAAATATGAGAGCGAAAAGCACGACAGATTTGAGGAAAAGTGAAGATGAAGATTCATGGGGTTTGACATCTGGCCCTCCTCCAAAAGCAAAGAAACCGAGTGATGATGATGACCCATGGGCTGCCATTGCAGCACCTCTGCCGACCACCAGAGCCAAGCCGTTGGGTGCTGGTGGCCGTGGCCGAGGCCGAGGGTCTAAACCTGCTCTACCAAAACTGGGTGCTCAGAGGATAAACCGAACATCATCATCAACTGGAATCTGAGAATTAGATACAAAAAATAGGAAAAGAGAAGAAATATATATATACAGGTTATGTATGTATAAGTAACTAGTGTTGTTACCAATCATTTGGGTTTGGTTCTGTTTTAGAAAATGATTAGATTGAGTTCATCATTTTTAACTCTTGTACTTGATTTGTAATACCAATTTTTCTCCATTCTTTCCCTTTTGTTTGTTTATCATCTTTGCATGTTGACTTTGGGGCTTGAAATGTCGTAGCATTTTCAATCCTACTCCCTACATTTTGAGCTAATGTAGGAACTTAAATGAATAGAAATTAGTATGATGAGCAAAATAATACATTGCACGCAGTCAGTCGTAGAGCCACGTTTTTTTATTAACCTGGATATACAACCCGCTATGCGAGCCGACTAATCCCAGGACGACCACCTGCTTTGCACATAGTCCGGAGTCACCGCATTTGAACCTCCATGGCCACCACAAGGGGATTTACATTCCTCCTTGGATTTGAACCTAGGACCTCCTGGTACTTTTAACCTTTGGAGCCAAGCTCAAACCAATCAGGCACCACCCTTATGGTTAACAACAAAACACGTGCTCCTCCTGAGTTTTTTCTTTTTGGTTAAGATTTTAAATTTGCACCCATTTGCATTTCATCTCAAAAAACTCACAGAAACTCTTGGTACCATTGTTGCATTTCAAATTTTGCATTATCCATTGATGCCTGACATAGGATTGAAGAATATGAGCTCCAACTTCCTATGGTTGATAACCTGTAAAGTTGCAGCGCCAAACAGAAAATGTTTAATGCTCCTCCAGAAAAACTCGTAGTACTGCTGTTTTAATTAGCACTTTTAGTGATTGTTTATTAACCATTAATCAGTTAAGTGTTTACGAGGTAAGGGTTATCAACACTTAGGGGCCGTTTACCAAACGCTTACGCGGATAAGCCCTTACCAAGTCAAACAACCTTACTGGATGAATACGGTAAAGACCAAGAATCTTACCCGGTAAGAGCACGACAAGGACCAAGAGTCTTACCCGGTAAGTGAGGGCGACAACTTTTACTATGATAAGCGCTTACCAGGTAAATTGTTGCATACGATGTCGTTTTGGTGGACTAAAAGCTTACCCCGTAAGTAAATAATAGTGTTAAGTTTTGCCGGTAAACACTTACCGGATAAGTGTTTGGTAAACGGCCCCTTAGTTACCTTACTGAGTAAGATTCATGACATCAAAATAGCATAGGAAGTAGGGTTGACAACTGGTAGGGTATGGGTAGGGTAAAGGTTATTCTATTATCCAATCTATATAAAATAGAGGGTAATGTAACGAGTGATTGGGATGTTCTTTTAGATCTTGTAGTTTCCCAGGATAGAGACAGGTATAAGAATCCAACGAACAAAGTAAATATAATCAATACAAGTATGTGGAATAACATAGTATTATCTATGACATAAATGAAATGTGAAATTCTTGAGTAGCTAATGTGTTTTGGATGATCCACGTCTCAGGGTAACAAGCTGCTTAGGCCAGATAGACTGACATATAATAGTTCCGAATCGAATCTCTTTACAAAAATCTAGAGCAGTAATTCAAAATTCTCTTGAAGCAAGAACTTTATGCGAGAGTCGAAGCGTAAAATTCTTTTTCCTTTCCGTAGGGAGCCGGCGACCGAATCCCTAGTGAACGGCGGCCGTAACTATAACAGTCCTAGCATCTTGTTTGGGTTACTGGATTTATGTTTTTAATTTCCTGGTGTGGATATTGAACGTTGGTTTTAAGAATGAGTGATTGCCCTTCTCCGACCCTTACTGCCGATGTTTTTCTGGGACCCTTACTGCCGATGTTTTTTTGGGGAGGAGGAGATGTAAGAAAAATCATCAACTTGACCCTTAGCCCAAGTATCATATTTGGTTATTTACTAAAATCGCTCATCAAATTCAAAACAATATTTTAATGGGTACCTGTACCCAAAACCGACACAGGTGGATTCCATTTTGAGAGAGTTGAATAAGCACTATCTCGTCATTTATTTAATGCACTTCCCAGTGATACGTAAACAAGGTATTTCTAGCCTCTTTCAAATATACAACATGGATAATGGCAATGCAATGTGGTGGGACTCTCATGTCGATCCGAATGAATCGGCTAAGTTCACGAGTTGGATATAAGCGGACTCGAACCGGGAGGTTTTTCAATGCGAGATCATCTATCTCATAAATCTATCATCTACCTACCCGTTAAAATAGCGGGTAACGAAATGGGTAATGAATAAATGGTAAAACCAAATTCCATTTTGAACTATAAATAATATTGTTAAACCTCAAACATATATGTCAAACATAAACTCATAAATTAAGTAATTATTTTATATCTAATTTGTTATAGTAAATATTTTAATATTACTCTAAATATAATCATAGTATAATGTTTTGAAATTATATAAAAATTGTAAAACAACAGTTTTCGTTGTATTTATTTTTCCGACCTCGTGTTGCTTCTGATATAATTATCATGAACTCTTTACTCGATAAATATATAAAGTAAATTAAAGTATACATTGATATAAGACATATATGATTGCATTATAACAAATATTAATATTTAACTTAATATATTACGTATGTGTATGTGTATATATATACACACACACATATACATATTTCCTAATGGGTAGTGGATAATGAAAAACCGTTTTTCCATATCCTACCCACTAAAATTTCGGGTAAACGGGTAAGTAAATATATTGATAAGATTTTCTTTACCCATACCTTTATCCAACAGGTAGAAACATGATGGCTAACGGGTTTACCCTTACTCATTGTCAGTCCTAATAGGAAGGTTGTTGATAAAAGTCTTTTACGAGGTAATCTCTAGATGGGTAAGAGTCATTTTCACTTATCGGATAAGATTTTCAGTCATTGTCATGCCTCTTACCCATATGATTCTCATTACTCGTAATGCTTGTCCAATAAGGTAAGTGAGGTCAAAATCATACGTTACCAAAAACAATGTTAGAAGCACTCTTTAAGTAAGGTTAAAACCGTTAGCAAGCTGTGTAGAGAGTATGTTTTCTTCATTTCTTGGATAACCCTTGTTTGCTTCTTGTTTTCAAAGCAATTTGATTGCCTGAATTACTATATTGGTGATTGTTAAATCTTAATAAATTATATAAACATTCATAACTCTGATCATGAACTTATGGCATCGTTGATGGATTTTATGCTCCCCTGGTCCCGAATCCTGGCTATGCCACTGATTGCATCTCAATCATACTCTCTGTATTGATAAATATACATTAATTTTAATAATATTTTTTACTTGTTGAATAAAACAAAATAAGTACATGACATGATCTACATATGTATATAATAAAATAATATAGATTATTTGTAGGGAGCTCGTTACACGAAGGAGTGTGAATTGGGATAATGCAAATAGTACATTGGAGTTATGTTTTCTTTTTCGTATTTTGACTCCCTACAATAGATAAAAGAGCCAATGTCAGGACTAAGTGGAGATCAACAGATTTTCTATAATTTCTTTAAAATAGAGAATTAAAAGTTGGAATCTCCAAAAGAAATTGCATTCAATTTAGATATTTCAATAGCAGTTATATTATTAAGATATTCTATAATTTTATCATCTTAATAACTCAACTTTATTGGTGAGAATGCAAAAAAAAATTCATTTCTATCTGCTTAAATAAAGTTTTAGAGAATTTTCTAAACTTGGAGTTTTTTTTTATGTTTTCTCTATTTTAGAGAACAATATAGAGAATCTATTAGAGTAAAATAGAGAACAAAACCTCTATTTTTTTTTAGAAAATCTGTTGGAGACTGTAACTCGATATCGTTAACTTGAATACTTTTACTGTCCCTTTTTGTTGCGGGTTATATAGTTTCTGGGGTGCACAAAAACACGACCAATCAAATGCCTAATCGAGTTGTAAAATCCTCAAATCATAGGTATTGGGATCATTTAAAATCCAAGTCATTCTGATGAACCCGATATCCTTATATTCTTTGGATTTAATATGATTGTTTAAGTCTTTTATTAATATATACAATAAACAATTACACCATCACCCCTCTTCATATGCACATACTTTAAATCCATTCTCCATCTCTATACAACTACTTCGTATATATGTTCAGTAAATGTGATCATAAATGCAAACTAATGAAAAAGTAGTTGAATGTAATCTAGTTAATAAGAAGTATAAATAAGTTGTATCAATTCATTGATGATGAATAAATGAATTATGATTAGAGAACAAAATATTCAAGGTATATCAACGTATGGGAATATTTTGATGTACCAAAGTATCAACCTGACCGAACCCAACCCGTGTGCACCCCTAGTAGCTTCGTGAAAACTCTGTTTTAAATTGTGATTATAAACTTGGCTTTTGTGGACTTGACCGTTTACCAAATGCATACCAGATACGCGCTTACCGTATCAATTACCTTACTGTGTGAGTATAGTAAGAACCAAGAATGTTACCCGGTAAGAGGCAAGACAAGGATTGGGAGTCTTAACGCTAAGTGATGGTGGTGACTCTTATCTAGCAAGCGCTTACCGGGCAGTGGACACTTGCCAACATTCCATTTTAATGACCGAGAATGTTACCCAATAAGTTAAGTGAGAGTGGTGATTCTTGCCAGTAAATACTTACTTGATAAGCATCTAGTAAACAACCCATTAGGCAGACTAAAGATAAAACACTGCTATCACCAAAAGAAAAATGAACATCAATTCCTTTGGGTCGATCGTCGACTTAAGAAATTTTCATGCATTATTTCGACTGCCAAGTGATTTAAGTTGTCAAAACAACTCGAGAGTATTCATCTCGTATTTGAGTTTCTTTTTCATTGTTTTATACATTTTCCGAAGAGAAAGCAAAGCGGTGCCTAACAGTTCTTTGCTAGTTTAAGCATGTATGATGATAGACTTAACTCTTAAAGACCGCTTACCAAATGCTCATCACGTAAACACTTGTCGGTAAGCGTCACCATTCTCACTTACTTTACTAGGTAAGATTCTCGGTCCTACAATAATTGACCTAGTTAGCGTTCGATAAACTGCCCCCCAGATCCTATGGCATGAGTCGTCAAAAATCAAACACAACGATTATCAGAAAGAAAGTTGTTGTGGGACCATTAGTAGTCCAAATCCAAGAGTCTTGAAATGTTTTAGAGGTTATGTAGATGAAGCATTTTGCATACTCCTATCAGTTGTGAGGATGAAATATATGCAACATATATTAATGGTTTAAGTTATTTGAATTTACATTTTACTGAAGGACCCTCCCATCAAATAATCTATACTATATTATAAAGCATTTGATAAAAACTCTTAAAAACCATTTTTTATGCATAAAATACTGTATATTGATGCATATTACTTAAAATTCAAGATTATAAGTAAATTATGCATAAGTACAACTTATTAAAACTCCATGTTTGAATTCGTATAACTAACTGCAGATAAACATAATCAAATAGAGGATAAACATCTCATTTTAAAATATAAAAAATCTAAAATATAATTAGGATAATTATAGATAACTAACAAAATAATTAATTATTATTTTTATAAGAAAATTATATTATTAAGCCAAATATAAATTACTTCGTTATTGAATCTAAATTAAATTATAATAAAAAAATTGAATTAAAAATTACACAAAAAATAGGAATTTTAAATAGTTAATTTGGTACTAATATCGATATATTTTTGTCAAATTTTTATGATATCTTCAAATGTATATTTTATTCAAAAATAAAAGAATTATCGTTTTTTCAAAATCACATAAGAGCATACTATAACATCGACTGAGATAATGAAATATTAAAATCAAGATGTATCTCGCTGCATTGCACGAATGTCCTTCTAGTGATCTTTAATGCATAAGGAAGCAAATCAACCAAATATTGTTTTTTCACTAAAACATGACTAAGGTACGCTGGAAGGTGTCGTACTAGAATGGATAAACCAAACCAAATAAACTTAAGAGTCTGTTTGGCTCATGCTGAGGAATGAGAATGAGAATGAAAATGACACAGAATGAAAATGGGAATGAATTTTCATTCCCTCCAGTTTAGCCACGAATGAAATATTGGGTTTCTAAGGGGAATGATCTCATTATATTATAGAAAACCAAACAGTTTCTTTTATTTTCATTCTCATTGATTACTACCCAGTACTTCTAACCAAACACCCCCTTAGTAAATCACATAAACTAGGGACTAAGGATAGGATGGGATGTATGCAAACCTTTTCTTCCTCTACCCAAAGTATAAAAAGATTGTCTCCTACGGTTTGCAAAACAAGAATTAAAAGAAACGAGATAGGAAGTTACAGGTAAGGTAAGAGTGTGTACAAACAAGCAACAGATACAATAACAGTACCTGAGAAGGGCAAGACGGACAAGTGTGCCACATCGATGCGATACACATTAACCAGTCATGAGAATCTTGACTTGAGATCGGAAATGAAAATACAGTAACAAATATAAAGTCTCAATGTCGGTGCTTCGCACTTGTTTGGTTTAGAATTAACCAAGATGACATTTAAAAGTGTTCAACAATATATGTATACCTTCTATCAAGAAAAATGGTTTCTTGGTGTAATATTTTGTGTGTGATTGTTCAACTACTACCTTACCTCTGTGGAAGGAGAAGTGCGTCGAGCAATCAGAAAAATAGCTACTACAATTTCATCAGATTCCTGTATTTACACTTCTTCCACCTAAACATCAACACACCAAACAAAATACTATCATTTATGTTATTCCAAAAAAGTGTATCCGATTCATACCCCTCCTATATGCGGTATGTGAGCGAGGCAGGGGGTAAGAAATGACTAATGAGGTGGTATATGAGTGGGCAGGGGGTATGAATAGCAACCCTATTAGTTTTATCAGATATTATAATTGTGACATTTAAAGAGTTTGTAATTTTTATTCAAAGGATTTTATTTTATTTTATAGAAAAAACTGTGACAATCAAAAATCAAACCCAGTATATCCCACTCGAAAGCATGTCCAGGAAGAGTGGAATGTAAACAGTCCTGACTTCTATCTATCTTAAAGGGTAGAGCGGTTGATTCTGTGGAGAGATCACCAGCTTGCGCAAAAGTGTAAGCGGAAAGGAAAAGACGAGAACAAGAAGGATAATCAAGACTAGCACATAATAAAAAGAAGAAAAAGGAAAAAAAGACGCAAATAAAAGAGCACAAACCCTCCATCTAACACGGGCCTCGGATACCCTAACTGCCAACTCCCTAAACCTCTCCATGTCCTACCCCCGCGCTCCATAACTCCCTACTTCCTATCCTCACTAGCTACAGGACCCTACCTTAAATCTACTACCCTCGTCCTTAGTTTCCAAAAACTTCTATCAGAGATCACGTCCTCAATTTGAGTGGAATCTCAAACTTATATCTATATCAAGCAACCTAAGGCTCAAGCTTTTGACTAGCAAAGCCTTAGTCCGAGCTTTTCAAGCTCGGCAGGCCACAAGCTGAGCCTAAGCCTATCTTTTTCATGAGATGAGCAAGCTTGGGCTTGGCTTGAATCAGATACACCCTTAACAGCTACATGCACAGAGCATGTTGAGACCAAGGGGACAATTACACATGTGGGATGTAAAATTTAAAAGATTCCACATTGGAGAAATATAACCTTTTTTATGAGCGCATACCATCATGAATCATGTTGTTAAAGCATGCTCAAGATGAATCGAAAATCGGGGAAGGTAATTTGTAAAATTAATCACTCACAAAGAGGGAAATAGCCGCTCTTCTCTTTAAAGAGTATTGGTCAGGTCTGCATACATCCCTCCCCCAGCCGGAATCCACCTTCAGGTGGGATATTCAGGGGTCGTTTGGTTTGGTAAAGAGGGAGAACCTTCTTCAGAAGAGGTAAATGAATATTGAATACCTGTGGGAGGTTCATTAACTCGAAAACAGCCTTTTGTGGGGTCAGCTCATTGTCTATAATCCGTGCCACTGCTGTTAGAACTGGCATTTTGACATTGTACTTTTGTCCCAATGCAATAACAGCTCCAGCAGTTGATACTCCTTCAGCCACCTACATGTAAATAACTGTTAAGTAACTACATTAACTAAATAAAGGGACCAACAGATTCTGCATCAAGGGTAAGATAGTAAATTAGTAACCTGGTTCATGGAGCAGAGTATATCATCAAGTGTTTCTCCAGAACCTAGTCGAACTCCAACTGTTCTATTTCGAGAGAGGCTAACAAAGCATGTAAGCATTATATCCCCCGTCCCTGATAAGCCGGAGATTGTTGTTGACTTGGCTCCCATCTTCATTATATTCATAACATAGAGCACTAATTAGACTGCAGTAATAAATGCTGAAATCTAAAAGGAAATTTAAGCCAAGCCTGAAGACCAAATATCTATAGGTCCTACTAAATACTCATTCTGGTCGATGAACATTTTCATGTTGTGGGTCTCATTTAAATGGTGTAACAAGAAACAAAGATGTGATTATCAAATGGAAGGAAATAACAGAAATCAATAGAATGCCTTCTACTTTCCAAGAGAAAAAGTCACCCATCCAAGCCAAACAACCAAATGAGGTTCATGATTTTAAGAACGAATCTATGCACACAAAAGTACTGGTATATGTTTTCATGGACTAGACGTTTAAAAATTAATGTATCAACGGCAGAGGTCATTCACACCTTTGTTGACAACCATCGTATCTCAGAACAACCTTGTGCAACCAGGGCTGCCATGGAATTATTACCAAGATTCAAACCTTCCACAATCCCTGCTGCTATTGCAAGTACATTCTTCAGTGCACCGGCAATCTCCACCCCTATAACATCACTGTGCCATTCAGGAGTTATAAACTGGGGATACACGATCAAGACAAAGCGTTTCTTCAATAATGTTACATCAAAGGTCAGTGGTCATTAAAAAAGGGATGCAGAAAAAGGATCATAAGCAGTTGGAAATACTAGAATTTTTAAAGCTATAAAGAGTCTACCTTGTTGTGTTGATCCTCAAGTTTCTAGAAGCTAGAAGTTGCTGGACTGTGTTTGCCAACTTTTTGTCTTTTGATGCAACCACCATTGCTATGAAAACACAAGCAAGATTTTAGGGCCTATTACTTTTGGCCTCCTAACATTTCCCTTTTGTTGGTCTCATTATGTCATTGGAAAAGAGGTGAAGATGTGATTATGGGACCATTTATTTGACATGGGGCAAACTGAAGATGGGACCCACAAAATCAAAAATGGATAATGAAGGAAGATGGAAAAAATGAACCAAAAATGGAAGTAATGGAAGGAAATAAAAAAAAAGAAAGAACTAATCAAATGCAATTTTTCCTTGCACACACTCACCTGTAGGCAACTTATTCATCAATTCTAGTGCAAATGAAGGCCCAGAAAGTGCAACATATGGCTGTCGAGAGTTTCTTAGTGTTTGTGGAATTATTTGAGACATCATCCTCAATGTGTTTAGCTCTAATCCCTTGCTGAGGGATATGAAAGGAAGACCTGGCTCTACATAATCGGCAACACCCTCCAGAAAAGAACAGCTGAACTGCAAGATAAATTAGATAAAGACAGTTGCCACTGATTCATATAAACAATGTGACAGGAAAGAGTTGACGATTTTCTAGTCTAACAGCCATTATGAAAGTCATTGTTCATGTAATATGATATTAGAATTCTTAAAAAATGCAAGCGAGTACCGGAACTGTTAGACCGGTAGTTTCAAAATATCCAACTGGCAAACCAAGTACTAGAATCATGAAAACACAGCATGTTCCTTCAAGTTCTTCAGAAAAAGAACATGAAATAAAAACCAGGCATTGCAATAATTAACTAACATCGATGCATTAAACAGGCAACATGCTATAAAAGATATAAACAGCAAAACGTCAAACATTGTGAAAGTCGAAAGGTCAATTTCCTCAGCCCCAATCTGAGTCAATGCTAAGAGTAGAGACAACACCCTAAAAGAAGTATGCATAGTCTGTGAAAACAGAAGGGAACATAACATATTTTACTGCAGGTTTAAATATATGACCTAGAACAGCTCTAGTCGTCCAACTTAGGTGATAGGTATTAAAAATACAAGCATGGAATCCAATGCCCTGGCAAGGCTGCATTGGTTGACAAAATACAGTGACGTGACCCTTATGCATATGCTTGTCAAATTAAACTGAAAGATGGTTGATGACTTTCTGAAAACCTGTACTGGTACAGCATGGAGGCAAAAGTCTGCACGGGTGAGAGCAGTTTTCGCATCCATTGTTGCAATGACATTCTCTGGTAGCTTGTGATCAGGAAAATATTTACTGAAAATGGAGAATTTCAATATTTAAACTAGATTAACATTCTAAAAATAAATAGTTAAACACCCTTAATATCGTAAAGAGGTAACAAGTTTAAAGTAACAAAAATTTTATCTAGCGATGAGCATGTAATCAATACAAATCTCACCCATTATAATGCTTCTCATTAATGGATTGACAAATTTGAGGATCACGTACAAGCATTATTACTTCCATTTGTGCCTTTCTACCTGCAACATGGGAAGCCATTGCTGTTCCAAAAGATCCACCACCTAGAACTACCACCTAAAAGCCATTCAGAAAGTACATAGCATAGGAATGTGAAAATCACGTCAATTTGTCATGAGAATGACTTCCTTGAAATTGCTGAAATTGTATATATAACCATAAGTGGGAAAATGTTAGTCAAGATGCATGTCCTAAGATAGAGCACTGGCCAAAAGGTAACAGGAGTACGCTTATATAATACCATACTAAGAATGATACAGTAGCAGAATTCAGGCACTCAAGAAAAAGGGATTTTGTATCAAGCGCTCATGTTTCAGGTTCAATTGTCCAAAAATTCAGTCACAAAAAATGAGTTTGAGATACACCACATCATAGGAACCTGATACCAATTGTAAGAAGTTGATTTTTTACTCCAGTGAAATGACTGATCATGGTTATTTTCGATGATTATTGATCTGAAGAAAGCTTTAGATGCTTCCTTAGCATTATGCAGACATACTTTAGAACCATATTTCTTAGATGACATAGAGGCTTACAAATAGTTAATCTCTTTGAGCACCAAATCCAACCTTGCAAAACACAAATATGTACATGCACTTTCAATAGAATATATTAAGCCTCTTCGAACAGAAGAGTTCAAATGCGACCAAAGATGATAAACAAGTACCGGTGTCACTTTTTCCTTCTTTCTCAAGAACACAATGTAGCATACTCGTTCACAAATTAAGACCGACTTCCGTAAATGTTTCAACAGTCTTAACAAAATTGCATTCATCTCTAAATACTATGAAATTGTATAACGGACATTACTTTGTTTGTGCGTTCAAGAACGTCGGTTTTGGCCTTGGACCGCCATGAGCGAGACCAACGGACCAGCTTTTCCCACGCGACTCTCACAATTTTCTGGCGGTCTCTTGTGGTGCTGGCAACTTCTAGGGAAACTTTAGCATCTCGTAAAGGTGACTGGTTCTGATCCGGCGGAGGCGGTGGATCAATTGCTGCGGCACACACTTTAGAGGTGTATCTGGACGTAGAGTACTGTCGAATAAGAACCGTTTGCTCAAATTTTGGAGTGGAAGAGAAATTAGTACGAAGTAACTTGAAATGAAGAGGTGATTGTGTCTGTGAGTATGAGGATGAATTATTGGAGAACAGAGAGGTCGATAATGGCGGTTCCAACAGAAGCGCCATTGTTAGCGTGTGACTGTATTTTATCCCCTCCACGCATTCCACGCTCCCTTTTGAGTTGTTTTCAGAAGCATTTAAACCCCACAATTTTCGGATTCCAGTTTCTGTTTTCGTATGAAAACGGGGACTTGTAAAGTAAACTACAATTTTAGTCCCTCAACTATTTATATATTTGCATATTTACCCCAATGTAAGTTTAGTTTTGCTTTTATGGTCCAAATGACCGTTACATCTTGTTTTCGCCTTTTGAGGCTTTGAGCATGATGTAACCCAAAACCGTTAAAAGGCCATACGCATCATGATCGGTATTTTAGGGATTATTTGACAATTGCTTAATGTTTTGATTTATGATGGTCAAATTGTCATAATGCTTAATAGGTTATGTATGATATAATGTAAAATGAAATATGGTTGTTTGGTAACTGTTCTAAATGACAACAAATTGTCATTTCTTTTTATTAACCTGGATATACAACCCGTTATACGAGCCGACTAATCCCAGGATGACCACCTACTTTGCAGATAGCCTAGAGTCACCGCATTTGAACCTCCATGGCCACAAGGGGATTTTTATTCCTCCTTGGATTTGAACCTTGGGACCTGCTGGTACTTTTGACCTTTGGAGTCAAGCTCAAACCAATCAGACACCACCCTTATGGTTACAAATTGTCATTTTAACCCTCTATATAATATAGTTTTAAATGAAATATAGTTGTTTGGTAAATATCTGACAAAAACAGTTAATTTGCAATAGAATCTAAATAATCCATGTATACAGAGATAAAATGAGCAAAAATGTGCACGAAAGACCCTTTAACATAAGCAAGAACCAGCTACCAAAATTGTTCCCTAAGAAACTAGAAAACAAAGCAAATCTTGGAAATCCAGCACCTTGACCTAAACTAGCAAAGGTTATATCTTGCTCAAAATGTTTAGCCATCTCCCACTGAAAGAATCGAAATCCCCTTCAACCTGTTCAAAGGCTATCTATTGCTCAAGATGGTCACACAGATCCAAGACAACACGTACAAAAAATACCATGTACAATAATCCCTTGCATCCTTCCTGGATAACGAAACAATAGATTGGCTCTTATAAGTATCATGGTGTTGAATGGTGGTAGCCAACCTGAGGCGTGAAATTGCTTCAACATGTAGCGAGTTCAACTTCACACACACACAATATATATATATATATATATATATATATATATATATATACACACACACACACAAACACACATATACATGCATATGTTGTTTTTTCTGAAAACGACTTCAAGTTACATCCAGTTGCAACATTTTGTGCAAAGCCATAAATCAACGTAAGAAAACGACGGAGATAAAGAGTTCAAAAGAATATCAGATATTTTCTTTGAACCATTACGAAGAAGAAAATGCAATTGAAGGGTAAATAATAATATTGTTTTTAAAAAAAATAAAGCTCTTTTAATATGTGCTTTAGTACTTCATCTATCATTTTTTTCTATATAAAAAATGATGGATGAATCAGCTAAAATGAATAAAGGGGTGTTTGTTTTCAGCTTAATAAGCTTAATGGGTGGTTTGTTTAATTGGTTAAGTTATATTTAGGTGTTTATTTTTAACTTAATATTTGAAGATTGGCTTAACACGTTAAGTTAGCTTATCCTATCTTAATGCATTAAGTTAGCATTTTTTTTTAAATTACCCTTGTCCTACAATTTTAATCATGTCTCATTCAAAAATAAATAGTTTACCAATATACATGAATTAAAATTACAATGAAATAATAATTCTTTATTGTTTTAAATATATTTTAAGTTATTACATATTATTTTAAATAATTGGTATTATTTTGATTTTTACTGTAATTTTAAATATTCATCAAACAGTTTATTTCGTCATTCAACACACGCATAGACATAAGGTTAAAATGGTAAATTTTGTTATTCAAATTATTTATTCAGAACAAAAATCAAACAACAATTTATCTTAATTTATCTAAAGAGATTAATGCTTAAAGACAACTTAATAAATTAAAAAATTAATGGATAAAAAAGCAAAGATCCCTAGGAACACATAAACCCAAATACAACACATCGGTGAACACCTCGATTTTCCAGTAATGCAAAGCTATTATTAGATATTGTAAAAAGAGTAACATAACCACTAATTAAAATTAAGGGGTTGTTTGTTTGCATCTTAATGATGTCATCAAGAGTCCACCTCTGAATCACAGAGGTGTGTCTTATTTGGCAAAAAAAGAAAAAAAAAACTTGAGGCCTCTTAACGGTGACTAAAGCTTCTGAGCGATTATTCACTAGGGTCTATGCAAAATTGTTTAGATGTGATCTTGTTCCAGAATTTCCCTTTAACCGTATACCCATCCGCCTCCATGCTCTCCCACGAAATTGTCCACGACGCCTTTGGCCATGACCGAACCTGTCCAACGACTCTTCTTCGTACGTTGTCCTCCGTGTTCTCAAGTACCATCTGTCGATTTCTCTATGTGGTGTTTCAATTTGGTGTTAAATCCATGGTTTCTAATTTCTTTTTTCGATTTGGTTTTGGTTTTCTTGTTTCTGATTTCACCACATCGTTCTTTATGTGTTTTTGGATGGAGGAACCACTATTAAGGAGAAGATGTTGCTCAAATGCTTTTCTGATTTCTTGTTTATTTGCTCAAACAACTTTTCATGTCGATGTTGTTCAAATGCTTTTCTGATTTCTTGTTTACTGATTTTTGATTTGTTGTTTACTGATTTTTGTTTTCTTGTTTAGTGATTTCTGATTTCTTATTTAAATGCTTCTTTGTTTACTGATTTCTTGTTTTTGATTTTTGATTTCTAATTTCTAGATTAGAGTTGATTGTTTGAAATAGGAATGGTTTCTAATTTCTTGATTAGATTTGGTTTCTGTTATGTTTTTTATGATTTTTTATTAATACCCTTTTGTTCCGAATAGGAATGGTCTTAGATGAAGGGTGTTCGAAAGCTTTAAATCTTTATTGGATGATACTTGTATTTTACATGAGTTGTTTCCGATTTAATTTGACCACCTAGTTCAGTTGTCATTTATGGTATGGATTTGTTTAGACTAGGTATGGAACTAGTTGGTGAATCTCTGCACCAAAAGAAACGTAAGATTACATGGAAAAAGGAGGGGTTGGTCCAAACATTTCTTGAAGCTTGTATACATGACACAATTAAAAATGAACGAGAAGGTAGTAGTCTAAGTTATAGTCGTGGAAGAATGTTGGTGAAGAATTGAAAATGAAGCATAATTTTATCGCCGACCAACAACAGATGAAAATTCACTATGATTACATTAAGGGAAATATGCATCTTGGTCGAAACTGAAAAACAGAAGTGGAAATATTTATGATTCATCAACCAACACCTTCAATCTATCCAAGGAAGAATTGAAGATAGAAATTTTGGTCACTTTCTTTCTTATTCTTTATATAATTCTTTTTTATAATCTATATATTTATATCGATATTTTTTTTTAAACATCAAAGTAAATACATGGAACCATTGAGGAGTATTGTTCTGCCTGAACTGTGCGATGGGGTTGCTAGTGTTGGGTTTGAGAGTTATGAAACAACATCTACGATTACTGATCTTTATGACTCTGATCTCAACTTGAATGAAGATATACTTTAGACACAAGAAACCGGGGGGGGGGGGGACCGGAAATCAAGATTGTTCTTCTCACCCTCTAGTACAAAGCAAAAAACGGAAAGCTAAAGAAACATGTACTTCCTAAAAAAGCGGAAATTGAAGAAAAAAAGATATTTTCTTGTAAGATATCTAATGAAACCGTTGCTTGAATTGAGATCTTATTCAAAGAGAAAGTAGCTTACCCATTAGATGTTTTTTAAGAAGGTTTTGTTGCTAACATGTTTACTTCCATTGTAGTTAATGTATGTCATGCTAGAAAAACATGGAGCACCAAAAGATGATATTGATAATTGTTTGAAGAAGTTGGAGGAACTTGGATAGGGTGCACCGTTGCATGACAACACTATTTGTTTTAGTCCAAAGTGCCGACTATAAGAAAATATGGATGCGTTTAGAACCGGCGAACTGTGAGAATTGGATTAGACTTACGGCACGTAAGTATGGACTAGTTTAGTTGGTGGGTTTGATTAGACTTTGTTTTTTAGAGGATATTCAAGGTTAGAATAATATTTTGATGTACCAAAGTATCAACCCGACCAACCTCTACCGTTTGGGTTGGATTGAGTTACACTTTGGTTTTGGTAGGATTGGGTAGAGATTTTTTAAACTGCTAGCAATGGATTGAATTGGTCAAATGCCTTTAACCCGATTAATCCAACCTATGAACACCCCTAGTCCAGAGGATAATAGAACCATTAAGATGCACATTTTTTTTTTATTAAACAAGACTTACCTCTTAGCAATTCAAATGTTGCCTTTTAATAAAACCATTAAGAAGCAAATAAACAACCACTTAGTCTTTTTCTTCTCTTTTCAAGCTTTTTAAATTTATTAATAATGTATATTATTGTAAAACATGTGGCTTTTACTTTTCTAAAACTTTATACATGTTAAAATAGGGTCGGGTATCAGTGAAAATGAGAGTTAATGTGAAAAACATAAGAAGAGATCTTCATATTTAAATGTACATTAGGATAAGATGTACCGAAATGCACGAGATCAATCTCCATATCAAACATGATTTATGGGCGAGTTTGAGATTAAAGATGATCAAGGGTTGTATTAGGTCTGGTATCAAGTTTTTTTTATCCAATATCATGTATCAGTCAATTATAGTGTATCAACCAATTGTATTTGATATCAATTGATTTTATACCAACTTCAAGTTTATATATGAAAACTTGTCCCTATGTTAAAATTTTGAGTTTCAGGTAACACGTAATGTTTAAGGGTTTTTAAGTATAAGGAATAAAACATAGTATTCAAATGTTCAAACAAAATGATTAACGTTACAAAATTTAATATTTAATATCTGTAAAAGTGCTTATTAACTTATGTGGTATCAAACCGGAGTTTTGTAAAAAGTGTTTGGATTAACTTA